GGTGTTTTACACATTTAATTGTTTACATTAATGTTAGATTTTTGTGTGAAAACAAAAATTTCAGTTTCATAGAGGATTTATAAATTTTGACAGTATATCTGAGAAACCCTTAGGGTCCTATAGATCCTTTTTTTTTTTTTTTTGGTGGAACTGGGGACAGATCCTCTTTTGAACAGTATTGCCAAAGAGACTTTGCTACAGCTAAGTGAAAATCTGCGTCTCCTTGTAGGCTGTCCCCAGAAGACTGTATGAGTAACAGATAACATTGGCTGCCCCTGGTGACACCAACTCATTGTTAGTACATTCTTTCCCATATCATACCTATTTTAATAAGCAAATTGAGATGTTTGGAAATACTTTTGCTGCCAGAATTCACCAACTGTAAATGGGCATCTTAAGGAAAGAAAAGTATGAAAGTAAAAGGTAGTGTGAAATATTTGAAGTATCTACAGAATGACTGTCACTTATTGTTTTTTCATTGTCCCTTTTTTTACAGGTATCCCAGGATTTCCCATTTCTCCACCCCAGTGAGACCAGTGTCCTCAATAGACTCTGCCGCCTTGGCACAGACTATATCCGCTTCACTGAGTTCATTGAACAGTACACAAGCCATGTGCAACAACAGGTGGGACCCTATTCTGGGATGTGTACCCAGAAGGCAAGAACTTTTGTCATGCTTTCAGTGAATTTACTGGGGAGCTATATAAAATAAATTATTGATTTCTTGTCACTGGAAATATTCAAGTCAAGGCAAGATTTCTAATTGTTTTGTAAAAGAGAAAAAAGATGAAAGCCTATCTTGTATTTTGACGACTGTGATTTTATGTCATGTGATATGTGAATTTCTACTTTCCCAAATTCTAGACACCTGTAGTACCTTTTTTTTTTTTGAAAAAAAGTATAAAAAAAAATTCCCTCTTTAATTTTGTAATAAATGAAATTGTTCAGTTTTCTGAAATGACCCAAGATCAGAACAAATTGACTGGCTGTAAGCCAGCCTGCTCTGTCTGTCTCATCTGTGTCCATGCTAGTCTTAGTGTGGTTGTGAGCTGCCAGTATCCTTAAGCTATACCCTGCTTTCTAACTCTTGAGCCCCAGCCTCCTACCATATTTGTTGCTGAATTCTGACATCCCCCAACAACTTCCAGGGCTTGATCATCCAAATCAGTACATAGCCAGAAAACCTATTCATAGCCTCTAGTCAGCCATTAACCACAGTTGCCCATATAAGCTTCCATAAGAAGCTCATACCAAAAAAAGAAGAAAAAAACACTTTGCTGACTTCCTGAAAGATAAGTTATATTTGTATATAAGCCCCGATGACAGTGTCAGAGCCCTCCAACATTAGCCACCAGATTTATATCCTTTGGTGAATTGCTATGTCAAGCAGGAAATGGGAGGTTAAAAAGGATTTAGTTCATTTTTTTATTCAGTAAATATTTACTTGGGCTGAGGAGATAGGTCAGTGATCTAAGTGCCTGCCTGACAAGCACAAGGACTTAGGTTTAATCATGTTTTGTGGCACCATGCCAGCCACCAAAACCAGGCGTAGTGTTGCATGCCTGTGATCCCAGTCCTGAGGAGACTGAGACAGGAAGTTTGCAAAAAGTCCAAAGTGCATAGTGAGACCCTGTACCAAATAAAGTTTTTAAAAAATAAAATATATACCTGGTTCAAAGGATTATGCTAAGAGCTGAGATACTAAGATGAGTAAAGTATGGTCATTACCTTTATAAACCTTGTACTCTAGTGAGGGTGACATCTAAACAAAAGTACAATTCAAGCATTAAGTAGAAATGTTTTTAAATCAGCAAGGAGATGCTATTAATGCCCTAGTGAGAGAAAAAGGACTTTGTGGAGAAATGCTTTCACTGGATCCTGCAGGAACAGTGGGTATTTGTCAGAAAAGTGAGGCACACAGTCATAAGCAGAGCACAAATCCAGTTTCCAATCGTGGGGAATCTGAAAATGAGGAGATACAGCTAGAAACTGAAATATAATATTGGAGAAATAGAGATGGACCAGAGGAATTTGGATATTCCTTCTGTAGTGGAACGCCACTGAAGGGCTTTAATCTGGAAACAATAAGATTAGAATTAAATTGTAGAAAAATCTTCACAACATACAGTACTGTCTGTCTGGTTGTAACACTGGAGACTGCTTGGGAAATTAAAATACCACATTTTAGAAGATCAAAGGAGCTGGGCATAGTGGCCCATGCTTGTAGTCTCAGCACTCTGGGAACCTAGGACAAGAGGATCACAGGTTCAAGGGCAGCCTGGGAAATTAGTGACAATACTGTCTCAAAAATTAAAAAAGGGCTGGGGATGTAGCTTAGTGTAAAGGTCTTGAGATCAATCCTCAGTATGCTAAATTAAATTAAACTAAACTAAATTAAATGTCAGAGATAGAACTCTTTATCTTCATTTGTGTTTTCCTCTCACTGGAGCACTGCTTTGATATAGATTCATTTAAGTAAAAACATGCCATGGATAGAGGATAATGTCTTCCTCCTTATCCTTCCAAGGATAATGTCAGCCCAGGTTTAGGGCCTAAGCTAAGAACTTGACTTCTCTGTGTTTGATTTCAGGATCACCACCCGTCTCAGCAGGGCCAAGGTGGTTTACATGGAATCTACCTAAGGGCCTTCTGCACAGGGTTAGATTCAGTTCTGCAGCCTTATCGCCAAGCCCTGCTTGATTTGGAACAAGAGGTAAGAAAGATGTGGGAAATCGTACCTCTGGGCTGGCAGATTAGAGTGTGTTCTTGAATTTGGCATGCCCTTTGGTAAGGTCATGTAGGTTAAGACTTAGCTATGTTTTATGTGACTGGAGCAGGTACAGTGTTCTGTCTGTGATTGTCCAAGCCAAAATCAAAATTGTTTATACATCATGGAAAAGGAAAAGGTCTGCTTTGGTTTTTTTTAATCACCTGAAATATAATAATAGCATGTAAGTTATCAGTTTTATATAGCCTAGAACTAATACCAAGCCCGTTCTCAGATTCTTCTTGTTTTCATAGCTCAGACTGGGTCAAGGTATTTTGAGTGGATCCCTAATCAGATTTTGTTTTTAATTGCAGTTCCTGGCTGACCCCCATCTCTCCATATCACATGTCAATTACTCCTTAGATCAGGTATGCTGCCCAAATAACCAAATGTCTTGGAATTCATTGATATTTTTAGAATAATTTAAGTTATGACACTGTTTTTGAGATGTTATTCAGAGCCCAGTATTTTCCATTTTGTATGCCTTTTGTATACTTTACTAGATCTGAACCATTTAGAGTTTCTAATTAAACACTTGTGTCTCATATTAGTGCTCTTCTAATGACATCAGTATTGACAGTTATGCCAACCTCAGAAATAGAAAAAGTTTCTGTTCACCATCTTCTTCCTGTTTATATCTAAGCTGAAGATCAAATTATTTTAGGATACTAGATCTAGACTGTTCAGAGTATTGCCATTTATCTTAAGTTGGGCTATAGGGAAACAAAAACATTTCCTGAGTTGATTTTTTCCAGTACATTTGATTATATACCCTTAATTATTACTTACTTTGCAGTTTCAACTCCTTTTTCCCTCTGTGATGGTTGTAGTAGAGCAAATAAAAAGTCAAAAGGTAAGAACTTTCCTTTTCCTTTTTGTTTGGGTAAAAAGAAATGCAAGTTCTAGGTCCAAAGTTATTCCCGGTACAAAAAAAAAAGCAGAAAGATAGTCCTTAGAAATAGGTGGTAGGTTTATGTTTAAGTTGCTAGCCATTTTCTGAGAATTATGAAATTACTAGGTAAAACCCAGATACTTTATTCTTGTCATAAGCTTTCATCATATACATTGAAAATTTAGAGTCCCCATTATGAGGAGCATATTTTCTGTGGGTATAGTTGATAGCATTATAGAATAAATGCTTTTAGATTTACTATCAAAAGAAGAACCTGCTCTCCTATATCAGTCCTAATTGGACCAAATGGACAAATGAGTTAAATATGTTTAGCTCTAGTCTCCATGTTTTTAAATTCTTATATATGTGCCTTAAATTATTAAGAATGTGCACCGTAGGCCAGTGAGATAGCTCAGTGAACTAAATGCCTGCTTAGGCAAGCACCAGGATACCATGCCCGCCCCACCCCCAGGCATGCTGAGTCCAGGCATGGTGGCACACACCTATAATCCCAGCCTGGGGAGGCTGAAAACAAGAGGATCACTACAAGTCCGAGCTGCATAGGGAGAGCCTATGTACCAAATACATTTAAAAAAATAAATAAATAAATTAAAGAATAAAATAATGTGTACCCTAATGAACATAATTATTTAACCAGTTAATTTGTCACACTGCTAAATTTGCTCGGTGACAAGGAAACTTAAAATACTCTGCTGTATTCATGTTATACTCACAAAACCTGGAGGGAGCTATCTGTGGTCCTTCAAAATAGATTGCACCGATCAAGTGACACATGCAGCTTTGTTGTCCTCTTTGGGTGTAGCAGGCACTTGGCTGTGATAGGTTCACACAGGTGGAGTAAATGGGAGAGCTGGGGTATAAACCCATGTCTACCCGACTTTCAAAGGCTGCTCTAGATCATGTATTACACTAGATCATGTAAGTGGAAAGGGACCTATTCCCTAAGTGGAAAGGGACCAGCTAGGTGAGTGGAGTCAGCTGTACAGCTTAGTTGACTTTAGTTTACATGTGCTAACAGAAGGAGAGTGGAAAATGAAGAGTGGGATTGCATGTGGGTTAGTCTTCCTTCCTACAGGATCATGATAGAGAAACTAGTGTGCTGAGGCTGGAATATGAGGCGGTGAAGAGCAAGGCGGAGTGTGAAAATGAACTGGACTGCAAAGAAGCACAAAGAGGATTCTGATAGGAGTGATAGGATGTTATGAAACTGGATTATGGTGACGGCTACATAGTGCTGCAAATTAAGATGTTAAATAATTAAAGTAGGCTTTATGTTATATAAATGATACCTTTTTAAAAAGTGTGAAGGACACAGAGGCAGTGGATTTGTCAGAAAGTATGTATTTTTAGTGATCTGAATTGGGCCTGAACCAGAAAAAGCGAGCTTTCCTTGGCTTTGGAATCCTAACTGTAAATGCTTCTGGTTTCCTTGGTGCACTTGTTCCCACACACTTTTCTGTGTGTCAGACTCTCTGGGAGGACTGGTGCAGACAGGCTGTGTCCAAGTCTGCACTCTCCTGAGTCTAGAGGTGACACTGATGATGCTGGAAGGAGGGCTTAGTCTTTGAGAACCACAATGTGGAAATGTTATAAGACAGTTTATCTCGGTTCTCTACTGAATTGTCCCCTTTCAGAATACAGAATATGCGTTTATATTCACTGAACTGTTAAAAAGAATCCAATTTAATAAGGCTATATTTTCCACAGATTCATGGCTGTCAGATCCTGGAGACAGTCTACAAACACAGCTGTGGGGGTCTACCTCCTGTTCGAAGTGCACTAGAAAAGTATGCTATGGTTTAATTCAGGGTTGGGGTGAGGGGAGAGGTCAAGTGACTTGACTTCTCAGGCATCATATTTTCAGTTCACCTCTAGTTTCCTTTGGGAGAATCATGACCAGAATTTAAAAGCTGTATGAGCAGAGAAACCATGTAATCTTTAACAGTGGCTCAGGCATTGCAGAAGAGGATTGTAAAGTGAAGTATCAAAGCCAGGATTAGCTGCCGAGTCACCTCTGGACAATCCTTGTTAACTTCTGGAGCTCATTATTCTTGTTCTGGGAGTTCCAGCGTTTTCACATCATCGTTCTTAAAAGTATTTGTATTTAATAATACTATAATGCTACTGAGGAATTTTTTCCTAACAAAATTATTTAAAAGAAGGAAATAACTTTAGGTACAAATGTGTTCACTACATTGTTGTCTGCTATATCAGGAAATTAGAAAATTACCAGCAATAGAAGAACAGCTAAATAAAGATATATTCACTAGCTAAACTATACACCCAGTAGAAGACAAGTTCCTTAATAAAATGTGCAGCATTGGTGAGGCTGAGTATTCTCTGAATAAAGTTCAAAAGTTCTTGTTTTTCCTCCTTTTCAGAGTCCTGGCAGTGTGTCATGGGGTCATGTATAAGCAGCTGTCAGCCTGGATGCTTCACGGACTTCTCTTGGACCAGTATGAGGAGTTCTTTATCAAACAGGGTCCATCTTCTGGCAGTGTCAGTGCGCAGGCAGAAGAGGATGAGGAGGACCTGGGCATTGGGGGACTGACAGGAAAGCAACTGCGAGAGCTCCAGGACTTGGTGAGAGCCCAGCAAGTTGCCTAGAATTCTCCACCAGAAGTGAGCAGTGTTTACAGCTAATCATCTTTTGCTGATCTCTCCTCTGTTCATCAAAGGCTGGCACCTTTCCTAAACATTTTTTTTTTGTTTGTTTGTTTTTTGAGACAGGATCTTGCTATACAGTTCAGGCTGGGTCAGTATGAATTGCATAGAGAAATCCTGCCTCAAGAAAAAATAAATACATAAAACTAAACATGACGTTACTAGCATATAGGTTAGAAGTTTTTAACCTGAGGGGCTTGGATTCAGGAAGTTCTCAAAATGTTATAATGCCTATGCATTTGCCTAGATAGTACAGAGCTTTTATAATTTCCAGAGAGGTCTGTGACCTAAAAAGATTAAGACTGTTATGTTCATTGACACCAAAGAAATGCAGTTGTCTCAGAAAAATGTTCTACACTGTAAAACAAGAGGAAAAGCGAGCGGTTTAGGAGAGGCCTGTGGAATAGCAGCAGAGTAAATAGACAGTGACGTGTGTGTGAGTAAAGGAAGCTGACGGTCCACATTTCACACAGTGAAAGTTGAGGGAGGACTCAGTCCCAGCATTTAAAAGCCATCCTGTCACTCTGCTGCCTGAGAATGAAATGAATCTTTTTAACACTGTGGATTAAAGAATTGTGCATGTTCAGATTGACAGTCTCTGCTTCTAAAAAATAGAAATCATGGCTTAGGGGAAGAACCAGGTATTTCTTCATTTTCTTTTCCTTACATGCTTGATCTCTGAAGAGAGTCTTTTCCTTCCCAGCGTCTGATTGAAGAAGAGAACATGCTGGCACCATCTCTCAAGCAGTTTTCCCTGCGGGTGGAGATTTTGCCATCTTATATTCCAGTGAGGGTTGCTGAAAAAATCCTCTTCGTTGGAGAGTCTGTGCAGATGTTTGAGAACCAGAATGTGACTCTGATGAGAAAAGGTAGGGTTCTCCTTGGCCATGAGCTGGAAGTGCAGAGGCTCTTCTCACCTCACTCTGTGTGGCCCAAAGGAAGCAGAAGCTCCTGCCTCTACAGACACCTTGACTAGGCTGGCTGGCTTGACTTCCTGTGATGGAGCTTTTGTCTTCTTACAGGGTCCATTTTGAAGAACCAAGAGGACACATTTGCTGCAGAGCTTCATCGGCTAAAGCAGCAGCCTCTCTTTAGCTTAGTGGATTTTGAGCAGGTGGTGGATGGTATTCGAAGCACTGTGGCTGAGGTTTGTTGTTTTGTTTGTTGTTCTTTTTGAACAGAATTTCACTATGCAGTTTAGGCTTGGCCTTGAACTCACTTAGTAGACCAGGCTGTTTGTTTTTTGGTTTTCTGAGACAGAGTATTCACATATAGTTCAAGCTGGCATTGAACTCAGAAGTCCTCTTGCCTCAGGGCAACTTAACAAGACCTTGTCTCAGATTTTTTTTTTTCAAAATTTTATTGATAAACAGTAATGAGACAGTTTCAGATCAAATCGGTAGTACAGTTTCAATAACCAGCACACTGCGTACACTCTTCCCAGTGGTTAATTGCTGTATAAGATGCGGACTTGAGATCCTATTTACAAACACCATTAGAACAAATCATTCCATTCATTAAGAGAATGTAACTATATATCCATCCCAACCACTTCAAATACACAGATACAAAATGGACATTCATCTGCATACCCCTTTTTTTCTAAGTTCCGTTATTTGAATATTATAGGTGTGTAAACTCAGCAAAATATTCTAAAAGAGTCCAGTAGCCCATAATAGCATGTCTCAGATTTTATGTACTCAGCACAGAAGCTCTGAGTGCAAACCCAAGTACTGAAAAAAAAAAAAAAAAATTCAACAAACTTTAAATTACTTAACTTGATAAATTTATATTCCAGAGTTTTACAGTGACCGTTATAGTAACAGATAGGCTTTACATGCATTGTCTTTTTAAGAGCCAACAAATAAAAGATATTTATTATTCTGCCTCCCATTTAACAATTTAAACTTTCATTCCATTTGTTTAAGGTAGTATTGTAGATCCTCTTCCAGTAACTCAAGGGCCAACACTTTCGAAAATTAAGCCAGGCATGGTGGTGTGTGCCTGTAATCCCAGCACTTGGGAGGACTGTTGCAAGTTTAAGACTAGCCTGAGCTACAAAGTGAGCTAAAGTACAGCCTAAACTGCATAGTGAGAACTTTTCTGAAAAAGACCAAAAAAAAAAAAAGGAAAAGGAAAGAAAATTTAAAAGGAAGGGAAGTGATATCTCAAAGGAATGAATGTGACTCACATTTGCAGAACATTCCCAGCTTTGCTTTCTGGGAATGCTTTCTTTTATTGCTAAGAGATGTTACAGTAATATCCCTCAAAAAAAAAAGTCTTTTTCATTTCTAAGAAATGTCAAAGAGTTCTGAGCTTTCTTTTGTCTATCATTTTTACAAAATTGGAAATATAATTGTTATCAATATATTCATTTCAGAATTTCACCAGAAACAAAACCAATTTTGACATTTCACATCTCATATAATAAAATTAAAATTTACTTTCCTCAGGGGCTGGGGAGATGGCTCTGTGGAATAAGCACTTCCCTGGCAAGTGCAAGGACCTGAGTTCAATCCCTGGTTAAAAAAAAAAAAAAAATTTACTTTCCTCCTTTAATTATTTTATCCAAACAGTCGTAACAAAAATGGTAAAAAGGCAGAAGATATCACCTCTTTTAGAAAGGCGCCTGCTTCAGGGTGTAGACTGAGGTGAGGTAGTGTCTTGAAATTTTTAATGAACATGAATTTAGATCATTTGGTTATTTACTTGCCCATGAGAAATCTGGTGTAGTGATACTTCATGCTCATTTTTTTTTTTTTAGGATTTTTTTTTTTTTTTTTGTTCCTTGAACGCCTTCAGGGCACTTTTGGCCAGCGGGCGAGTTGTGAGGTTCGAACTCCAGCAACCTGAGGCTGACAGCTTTGTGGAAGCAGCCACTTAAAGGCCTGAGCTAGGGCCA